CCTCACCTGTGGGTGAATTCACTGCCCTCAGACGAACACACTAACATTACAACACAGCACACATCATGAACATTAACGGATCAAAATAAAGGAATAAAACAACTCACACATCCAGAGGTAATACATGATCTTCACCGTCTTCTGAAACTCTACAGGGATGTCCACTGTGATGTCGTGGTAGAAACAAGGACCCACTGGGAGCTTCTCTGGGAGGGGGGGCCAGTTGTTTTTCCTGCCTGAAACAACACAAGAGACAAGTTGACTGTAAATAATATTATATTATCAGAGATCAGGGAGGAATCTGGTTACTGACCAGCTGCATGTAAACACAGGTTTTACACAGTTAATGCAGTTCATGTACATCTAAATGCATTCTTTGATTTCCTAATAATAGCCTAATAATGTGGTTTAAAGTAGAAGTCTGAAGCGATATGCACAGGCTCTGTGAAGACGCGAGAGGGATTCAAAGGACGAGTTTGGCCTTTTGGGGAAATATGCTTACAGTATTTGCTTTCTCACAGATAGTTTGATGAGCAGATTGACTCTCGTGTCTGTATGCAAAATGTGAAGGTAGAGGCAATTAGCTTAGCAGAGCATAACGACAGGAAGGAGGGGGTAAACAGCCAGGCTGGCTTTCTAAATTTGACTAATTACCTCCCCCAAACAGATAAAAACACAGATTGTGTAATACAATATTCAAGCAGATGAAATACAATATTGATGTATATTCAGGTAATAGTGTTTACCAGAGGAAATCCATTATATTGAGATCCATGAAGTGTTATAAATCTATATTACAGACATTTTTAGATGTTTTTTTGAATAAAGAAAAGCTAGAACTTGGCTGTAGTGATGGAAGTAGATTGTTCCAAAAAGATCCACTGTCTTTCAGTGAATATTGATTAAGGAAAAGTCTGACAACAGCGAAGATGAAAGCCCTTACAAGTGTTTTGTAGAATTTGAGTGAATGTCTGAGGAAAATCTGACTTGTTGTGGTGCCAACAGGGCAGAGAAGATCAGCCAGCTCATCACAATAATGGTGACTGGAGATGTGCTCCTGTTAAGCTTTGTGGAGGGAGAAAGTTTCCGAAATCTGATTGCGTTTGTTGAGCCCGAGTACAAGCAAATCTCAACAGCTTACATATGTTTTTTGGCGAGTTTTCGAATATGTAAATTACTTAAAATGCCCAGCCCTATTAAGAAGTCACATTTAGAGGTGCTGGTGCAGAGCTAGGCTAGCCGTTTCCCCCTGCTTCCAGGCTGCATGCTGGTGTCTGATGCTGACCTCCTGAAGCACTGAGGGACTGCATCTCTCTCTCCCGGCGGTCCAGCTCTGCAGCCTTCCTTTCCAGCTCCTCCTGTCGCCTCAACAGCTCAGCGGCTCCTTGCGACTGGTCCTACACACACACACAAATATAGATACACGAAACAGATGTCAACAGTCTGGTAAAAGGACAGGATTGTGTGTCAGACTGTTTTGGCTGACTACTTTTTCAGCTCAATAGGAATTCTCTGTTTCTACTTTTGGAATAAATCAAATTCTCTACAGGGGCCGCACCAGCGGGAGGAGAGACATCACAACAACATGTTCCCAAGAGCACAGCCAACAAACGAGATGCACCATCAGAAGTTATTTCCTGTGGCTTTCTGGATTTCTCTCCGAGTCTGTGTCTCCCTCAGTTAGAAAGCTCAGCCACAGATAGGAACCGCCTCCCGCTGAGCGACTTTTCCGTCCACAAACTCAGCGTGAAACCAGCTGTCATGTTAATGTGTTTTCTGCCTTCAGTTCGCTCTCAGAGTCTCTGCTGTCGATGCCGGACTAAAACATTACACATGTTATAGTCTGCTTGCTTCTATATAAACAGCATAGTGAAGATATGTTAAAACCTGAAAGGACCAGAGAGCGTAGAAGTAAAGAAGACCATGTTGTGGTCAGTAATACCTGTGCGGCAGTCTGCGAGTAGGCCGGAGGCTCCTCTGTGGGCTTCATGATGGCGGGTTGTGTGTTGATGGTGGGTGCCGTAGCCTTGGGCGCCATACCTGCAGGCGTCTACGGAGGAAACATATATACACTTAAAATTTGTTATCTTTACAGTTCACAAAACAGAGTGATATGACGTCAGGAGTGCTGCGAAATGAGGAAGTGGATTTTCTCAAAATGGCGAGTGTGTCACGCCTCTTTAACAGTAACAATAAAAATACACTGACAATGCATCCGTCAACTGTATGAGCTCAGTTTGCCTCCAGTTCTTCTGCAGCGATTCACTTCTGAACTTAACATGGAAGCTTAAAAATATGTGACTTCTTCTTTTTTATTCAAGAACAAGCATGAAAGCAGTTGACAAGAGTGATTGTGTGAACAATACTAACTTATGTAAGTGTATGGAGCACAGACAAATTAAAAAAGCCTATTATTAGTGACTAAATACCACATAAAACCTTCATTAATGTGGAGGGAGAATAGTCATGAAGCTCTGAAAGGCTAGACTGCTGAGATCAGATCATTTTGTTACTGTTTACTCCAATAAACCTGTCAGATCAATCAGTCTGAATAACTTCCAATCCATTATTTACAAGGAAAAACACAAAAACTGAAGAATTTTAGTATCAGAACAATAGATGTATTATTTCCTGTCCAGTTAATTATCTTACAGATGTATCATGCACTCCCCTTTCATGTAGGAAACTAATCAATGCTGTAATGTTACAGTTTTATGTCATGGAGCTGCACATGTGGATGTGCTAATATCTGTGCAATCAAAATATAAAATTCGGATCATATAGTCGCAGTAATTACCAGCACTTGTCTGGTGGTTTGTGCCAATTTTGTGCCCTTTTACGTGATCAGTGAGTCTGAATCGACACAAAATACAACTTTTATTGAAAGAATATATTATTATAAAGTAGTAAGAACTAAATAATGAAGGAGGACTGTGTGTTTGAATTAAAAAGGTGATGAGAAACATGCTCAGGGAGTTCTTAATTCCCCATTTAACACAATTTTTAATTGAAAACGACGATTATCGCGTTGTGAAATAACACAACAACTAAATCCATCCTCTGAAAGCTGTTAATGTTGTTTAAACCTTGGTGTATGAACTCACTGCCACTGGATTATGTGTAAAAGTACTCACTTTGGCATCTGTGAAGGGATTGTACTCCTCCAACCCCGGAGGAGCAGCCTGTCTTACTTGTGTCACTGATGGATCCTGAGAAATCAGATAAAAAAAGAAAAGACAAGATCTCACGTGAGAACACTTTCAATAACATACGACTGTAGTAGAAGAGCTTAATAAAGTGTCAGGAATAGTTGTAGCATGAGAATACCACATTCTCGATGTGTCTATCCTTGTATTTTTACCAAAGACGGCGGAACAAATCTCCACAGTACGAGCGAAACGGCTCATGTGAGTGTAAAAACCCTCCATTATTCTGCCAGATCAAGGCCAAACAGCACTCTTTATTCAAAACGCAACAGGCCTATAATTCAATTCTGGCAAAGACGGGATGATTCCAATAATTTTCACGGGAAGACGTCTATAAATAGCCACGTCCGTGAGTTCCAGAAAGAGGGGGTGCAGATGCTTCGGGCTGCTAAAGACAGAAATAAAACTGGAGACTGTGTTTTTCTAAGTCTGCTGCGTAGGCACAAAAACGCTAAAGCACTTTCTGATCCTTTTAGGCACATTCCTAAGTTTGCAAGAAAGGCAAATTTAAAAAACCGTGTGTGTAAAATGTTAGTAAATGACAGTTTTACTACGCACTACGTAAACACACACACTGTTCAGGATGAGGCTATAAAAAGCTCTACATTCTCTGTACTATATGGCGAGTACATTCAACTATAACTACCACAAAGTACACAGTTTAATGTCCTCTTTCCAGGTAAAACTGCATCCGTTAAAGCTGCATTAGCACACCTTTATGTTTACAATAAACTCACCATCAGCTGCTGTCAGTCACGCACTACTTTCATTCAAATCGCTGCCTCCATATTAACATCCAATCTGCGTATTCCTGCGGTCCTATCCTTATCCAGTCTCACTGCAGTCCTCTCGCTGTCTTTTCCGACTCTTAAATTTCTGGGAGCATCTCACACACACACACACAAACACACAAACACAACAAACACCACACTAGGCCTCAACTTGTCATCCGAGACAGGTTTGTCATAAATATGGTTCAGCGGTATGTTTGGTGGTTTAAGGTTAAATGTCGCCCTGTTGCCCATAGCCAAACAATTTCCCATGCACATTCACCCAAGTTATTCCTCTTGAACTCTTACAATCACTCAAAGTAAAAAATCTTATATAGTACGGTATGTATCAAAAAAAAGGTCCACCTGTCGCACGTTCCGGCCTGCGGGAGAAACTCAATTTACGGTATGCGATCTTTACAGGTCACCCATCAAGCTTGTACCTGCCACATAGTACTGGATGGAGCAGCGCATAAAACAGACAGGAGTGCAGCACTACCCTGACGACACTTTATCCAACACCGTACTGGTTGAAGGTGAAGCTGCATCATTGAAAACACTTCACACAGCGTCATGCGCCTTAACTGTTCACTCTTTTATTAAGTACAAAAAAAAAAGGAAAAATACAAGGTGGATATCTGCATAACAGAAACTGCATAATCATCCTTACATCCACAGAAAAATTTTAGGCCAAAACATGAGTGGACACAATCGATTGCAGGAAGAAGGCGCCAGAGGGGAGGGGGGGGGCGCGGGTCCTCAGCGCCCACTTGTCGGCCAGGACGGCACCATATGATTTTCATTAAGTATGAAGCATAGCTCAGGAGGGAGGCGGAACAATTGACGAGTGTTTAGCCAGCCAAATGACAGAAAAATTGGCAGCGACAGCAGGTTCACTACTTCATGTCAGTATGGTTAATGCGGCTCCATCAATAATTCACTTTTCTGTGCGATCTGTAGAGGTCAAAACTGTTGCCGGCTCAGCATCTTCCAGCCCCGCGCCACACCGGAGCGGAGCAGGAGATTTTTTGGTTGGGATTCACTTTTTTTAAGTTTCTGGCATATTAAAGCCTCGTTTTTATACTTACTTATTTTCATTTTTCTATATTTAAAAATGACAAGATTTGAATTCCTGGTTTGCTTCTTACATACATACAATTCTTTATAAATTAGTTCTGGTTAACTTATTGTGGGCAATACATTTATTCTTGACATGTTAAAAAAGTTGGTAAATCTAAAAAAAAAAAAAAAAAAAAAAGGCTGCCAACTACTTAAGTTACATAAATATTTAATTAATTTATTATCATGTTAAAAGCAGTTTTAAAAGTAGCAAATTCTCACATTTAACGACTTTGTAACCATCAAATATTTTTGTATTTTTAGTTTAAAAAAATTAAATTAAAACAGGTTGTCAGTTCATTTTCTTTTGGATTGATCGATTAAATAATCCGTTTACAGCTCTACTATTTATTTCTGACCATGGTGATGTTACTTAAAATATAAATCAATTATCCTTAATGAACATATAACTCACAATTGCACTGTATGGTTTACTTCTTTAGTATTAAATGAAATTGTCTTGTTTTATCTTTCTCACTGTGCAGCAAACGTTACTGCAACAGGATTCTGGCTGGTTATTTCTTCGATTGGATCTTTGGGCCCAAACGTCACTAAATCCCAGAACCATGATAATATATCAGGATTGATAAGAGATTATGAGGCCGATTTGCTGATACTTGATAATTTTCAGGAGGTAAAAAAATAAACTGATAACGATAAATATTTGATGATTTCCCCTTTTTAAACTAATGTGAGTCTTTTTTATTTGGACTCATTATACTAAGACAGACCAACCGAGAAAATGTGGCTATACTGGATCACAGGCCGTTATGTAAACAGTAGCAACCTAAACATCTATGACCACTGTTTCTCGTAATGAGGAATAAATTATTAATCATTTCGTTATCGATTTGATTCAATTATGCTATATTACTAGATATATTCGGTTGCACATTAATATGTTACAGCCTATAACATAGGCTCCTGCAATTTGCGTAGACAGGATATATCTACTACCATGGAGCTCATATTTCATTGATATCATCCAGGAAACACTCA